TGATAAGGGCACCAGGCAAATATATTTATATTGATGAATTCTGGACAAATCTATTGGTAGGAAGTTTTCAATGTCTTTGAGGATTTTGAAGACTAAAAAGACACTTTTTCTTTAGACTGTCAGTGAAGGACAAGAATGATAGACTCTTGTCCTGGAGGTTTGTGTGTGTGTTTTGTGTCTAGTTTTCTTAATGTCTTCTGCTATTGTTTACTCAAAATGTTGACTTCACTAAAGGCACAGGAGGCCTATGAAGCACCTTGGAGTATTACAGCCATGCAGTGAATTAAAAGAGCAGAACAGCTATGTAACTGTGGGCTCGGGTCGAACAAAAACTAGAAAACACTTAGCCTAGGTGTATAGATTGACAACCCCTGGTGTAGGACATTTCTTTAAGCCCAGGAATGCATCATTCTTCTCTCAAAAGCACGATCTATTTTGAAAGATGGTGACTAAGAGAGTTTTGCCATAGAAATGAATTATTTGACTCTTAATTATTGTTTCTGTAAACTTACTGTACGTGTAATAGGAGCGGTTCTGTTTCGTCAACCCGCAGTGCATCCCAGACACGCGGATCCTTAACCTTCGGAGGCGGTGCCAAGGTGCTGCTGTCAGTGTGCGCGGTGACGTCACGGCGCCTTTCGGTGACTGTGATGGCGGACGGGATTTTCCTCAGTGCTGGTGAGAGAGCAGCGAAAGAAAGACGTTCGAGCTCCCCGCTCTTTACCAGCTACCACATCATTTAGCCACTTCTTTGAGAGGGGAGAGGGAGGTGTTTCTTGAGTGTTTGCTGTATGCTGTCCCTTCCCTGTGTAATATGTTGGAGAGGGAACCCGGGGAGTACGACAGTAGCCGGGACAAGACAGCAGGCAGCGGTGATTTTTAATCGAAACGAGTGATAAACACCACTCCGAGGAGCAGAGCCAGGAGAACACCGGGAGTAAGGAGCCGATCAGCGGGGACAACCGTCCAGCATGAAATTCGCGGAGCACCTCTCAGCCCATATCACTCCCGAGTGGAGGAAACAGTACATCCAATATGAGGTAAACATCGGGGGGGACAGATTTCAATGCATGAAAGAGAGAGGAAACCGGCGTTTCGTTTTCAAGACCCGACACTTGCTTGATGTGTCATTTTCCCGTTGGACTTGAGCAACCCTTAGCGGCTCTGCGTGTGTCTGTTGCTCTCCCCGGGTGGTGAGATCGGGGCGCCGTGTGTGCGTGTTGTTGACGGGCTTGGGGATGCGCTGCGTCAAGCCGCTCTGAACTCCCACGTCTGTGCGCTTCCCGTCTCCGGGCCGTACTGTACCGGCGACACACCTGGAAACCGCACGGACACGGGTGCCGGTCCTCTCCCGCTGGGGGGAAACGGTTGACCGTTGCCTTTGAACCCGAGGGCCCACATTTGTTGTTTTTTTTTTACGGAGAATGCTTTAACTCCGCATAGCCAAGTGTTTTCTGAAAATGATATTAAATTGTATTACATACGATGTGATAAATCTATAGTGTAAACTATATACTGTACGTATCTGCCAGAGCTGTTAAAGTGCGTGCTTCTTTTGAGTTAATGGATTTAGCAAAGTAATGCATTTTGCACACGCAGCTTGATTTTATTGCTTCAGGTTCGCGACTATCCGATTTATGGAGGAGAGATGGTGTGACTCAGAGAGGAGAGCTCTTTGTCCGGGTTGTGTCTGCGGGCGGGTCAGGTGCCTGCTGCTTTTGTAGAGGAAGAGTTGTCCTCGACGATGTACAACCTGATACGAAAATAAGAAATTGGCTTTCGGTAAGGGGGGATGTCAAGCCGTGGGTCTAATAAAAAGAGGAGATATTGAACTTACAATTTATTGTTTCACTTTTCCCTGCGTTGTGTTCCTGACAGTTGGTGAACGTATCCGTCTAGCGAAGTCATTATGTGTTCCCCAAGATTAAATATCTACCTTGCTTTGGCTTTGCAGATGTGTAACACCTGCGTTATGAAACTGTTCACTGTTTATAAATATTATCCTGAGAAGGAAAATATGATTAGAAATGTTTGTGTATTATATATAAATACACAAAAAATTATCATATTCATGTAATGGGGATTTGTGTTTGTAAATTGTTTGGTCCATTTGATATAATTTAAGTGGTTTTGTCTTCTTTTTTGTAATTCAGATGACACATTGAGGCATGTGAGGCATCCTGGTATAATCTGGGTGTGCTATAATGGCCCATCATATAGGGAAGGAGTGACCCCTTTGTGTGTTCTTAGAACATCTGTATTATTTTGCTTTGTTACTCCTGAAGAAGAGACATGGAATGTAAATCAGTGTGTAATCGCCGTAATTTCCTCTTAATCCACTTAATTCCTTGTGATGCCAGCGTCCCAGTCAGGTTTGGTTTCTCAGACTGCCCGATCAGGATGCAGGATGCCATGTTTTATTGCCCTACACAACAGCAATTCTATTTTGGCAGCATCAAGACTGCAAATTGGATGACAAAAATTCACACATCTGCGAGGAGGGGATGGTGTTCTTCTGTGTGTGAACCGAAACTGTGGCGGGTAGAAGATCATTGATCCGTCAGTAATCAGGTTATTGATCTTGCACTCTGTTGTTTTAATGGCTGGCAGGTTGTGCTGTTTGTCCAGCCCCACCCATGCTTCCATCGTGTAGTCTGAGACTTTGCAGTTCCACATGCATGTCTCCTCGCCGGGGCACTCACTCGCTGCCTGCTGTCTCCTGGCTCTGCCAGTTGGCGGTCGGAGCTAGCGAGGGGATCTCAAGTTCCATTTTGTTCTATGAATTATAGACAAAGAAGTGGATGTCTGCATGTTTCCCCATCACAATATTTAACCTCCAGCTTTCCGCTCTCATCACTCCTCCTGCATGCCTGTGGGAGCAGAGTGGGAGCCGGGGGGGGAGTATCTCAGCGGCCTGCAGGAAGCCGAGCCGAAGGAGGGTTTCCTTACAAAAACCCTTAGCGTGCTCCCGCTCAGCTCAGTCAGCCATCCCGCTCAGCCTGACTCAAGTCTCACTCGTCTGAGCCCTGTTCTCACGCCAGCATCACTCCAGTCATTTTCCAGTCGCTTTTTCCAGTTCTGGCTTACGGGGGGGGGAGTCTACCCTAGCAACAGGCGCAAGGCAGGGTACAACCCAGTCCATTGCAGGGCACACACATAGAAACACACACTCGGACCAGGGCCAGTTTTCCCAGAAGACGATTCACCTACCAGTATGTCGTGGGAGGAAACCAGAGCACCCAGGGGAAACCCACATGAACACAGGGAGAACATGCAAACTCCTCACAGATAGCACCCCAGGTCCCAGCACTAGGAGTCAGTAACACTAAGCACAGGGTTACCATGCTGCCCTCATTCTGCCATGGAAAAATGATTGAATTATTACTGGCCTTGTATTTGTTCCAAACATTCCCAGTATGTGTGTGTACACAATGTGTGTGCAGTTTTAAGATTTTTGTTGTGTGTAATAATTCTCCCTGGACTAGGTGCCTCTGGCGTTTTGAACTTGGTCCTTGTAGTGGCAGGGTCCAGCTGATTCTTTTCTTTTTAATAATAGTTGTTCTACCCGGTTTCAGGTTTTGGCCTCGTTAAGATTTCAGACGCTACGACTGCTTCTTGGCCATAGTGCTTTTCGCGCTGAGTTGGATGTGAGGAATGGATGTTATGATAAATGAATGAGTTCGCAGAATTTAATAAACCAATTAAAGACAATTTTGATGTTGTCTGGTACCTGCCAAGCCACAAGACTATAATTATTGTAATGACTGCAGCTTATTCACAATTTTGTAAGTGTTTGTGAACCCAAGGCTTGCCGAAAACACAATGTAGGTACGTACACTCGAACAGCCTCATCCATTAGTTGGTGTTGTGATGCGAAATGGTTCTCATTTTTTGAAGGCAAAAATAACACAAAAAAGAGATTCAATGCCAAACAAAGCCAGAGCTTAATGTCGTAATGTACAGTTAATGGTGAATAATATACTGTATATATACACCAGGGGTCTCCCACACCAACTTATTTTTCATTGTAGCTGAGTATTTTATTTGAATGAATCCATAACTGGATCATTAAGTTTTTTAGGTGGAACTTTTGCATGTTTTTTTCTTCAACTCAGAGAACTTTGGATTTGCTTATGAAACGCAATACTTAAAAGGCAAACCACATACATTGCTTAGGAACTGTCAATCAAATAGCCCACGTTAGACCTACAGTACAGTTCATTCTATTGAGGGGTCCGGTTGTTTGAATTGGACGCTCAGTTGGAAAAAAGCCCAGCAGGTGTGTGTTTTCTCAGGATAAGGATTGGGAATCCCTGCTATATACAGTGATTATCATTAGCAAGGACCTGTGACCTCTTCCAGGTTCATGAACTGTTGTTTCTTGCACCAGCTGTACTGCTGAAGCAGAGAAGCATTTTTTAACTATTGAAGATCTCTGTACACATTTACAAAGCAGTGGTAGTAAGCTGGTTTTGGCCTGCTTAAGAGTCTGTACCCTGTCAAATCTGGAGTGGCACTTTCTGCAGGGCAGTTGGCATCTGTTTCCCTGGTGTGTTTGCAATGCATGGAGAGAAGCAGCTGTGAAACCCTATTCATTACTATGAAGGGCATAGAAGTGGATTTTATATTTGGTTGCAAAACCTCAGTTTCCTAAGTGACCTGTGTTCATTTAAGCCATGTGTTTATCAGTAACTTTATTCTTGGCGTGGGTTAATCAATCCAGCTGGAATCTTTATAGTGTGATAATCTTATGTGCATGTATTTCCCTTGCAGGAATGCTATGAATATGTTTGGTTCTTCTGAAGCACTTAGTTATGCAGCATCTTTATTTTCAAGCATGTGATCCAGTGTGTGCAGGTTTAGCAATTAAAGGGAGAGAATCTTGGGTTTTATAATTTGATTGCATGTTAATTGAATCTGATTGTAGACCTGTATGATGCCGGGGCGCCGTAGAGGAATATATAGGAGGTGTGGATCTCTGTGAAGCCCAGCTGTCAGTGTGTGAGGGCTAGCCTCTCGTGTACTAGGGGATATGGTTTTTCCTTTGTGCGCTCTGTGACAATGGTGTCCTGGGTAAAAGGGAGGGGTTGAAAGGGACATTGTTTCTGTTTTGACAAAAATGACCCGCGTACACAATACGTACGGTATTGTTATAGTGCACGAATTGGGGGAGGAAAATGGGAATGGGAAATGCAGCTAAAACAATCTGGCCCAGAGAGCTATTGCTGGTCCATTGATGGAATGGTGACGAGAGCACCGACTGGCCTGTTTCCAAGCAGCTGCCACCGCCCCTGAGCATGATTTCTCTTTGTGATAGATTTATAGAGCTCTCTACATTCATTTCCCACTGATGGGACTGAAATACAAGTATTTGTATGCATCATAAGATGAAGGAGCTCTTTAAAATTGATATATGGATAAAAGGTGTTAATTAGGGATGACTGGAACTGTTCTGGCTCTGTAGCTTTCACATGCCTTTGTAGCCGAGAGGATGCAAAAGACAGACAACCGATTTGACTTAAGTATTAACAAGGAAGAGTGTGCCTTTAAAAAAAAAATGGCACACAAAACTGCCCTTTATCTGACTCTTCAGATTTTAGACCCGTGCACAACATTTTTAAAGATTTTTCCAGACAGGTGTTTTTACACGAAGAGTAAAATACGATGCTGGGCGAAGTGTTTGTACGGTTGAACAGACATTTCTATGGATGTATGCAATCCTGAACCAAAACAATAACATGTCCGAAATGACGTCGGACAGGAGAGCACCTCAGTAACTATAGTGGGGGCCTGTGCACAAGAAAAAGAAAATTGGTACCGAGAATTGTCCAAAGGGAGGAGAAACACTGGAGGCAGTAAAACAAAGAGTGAAAGCTGGATGGAACAAGTGGAGAGAAATAACTGGAAAAATCTGTGACAGGAAAATTCCCAGAAAGTTAAAGTGCAAAATGTACAAGACTGTGATTAGACCTGTACTACTATATGGAGCTGAATGCTTGGCAGTTGGAAAGAGGGAAGAGAACTTGATGAGAAGAACTGA